TTCTTACAACTTCTCGCTCTCAAAAGGAATAAAGTATTGATAATATGATTTGTTTTCTCCATGTTGTGTAGTGAAGGGACGAGGACAAGGACTTACAAACTCTACTTTGTTTACTAGTCAAGGAATGCCAACGATACCTAAGAACTCCATCGATCTTGAGAAAGAGAACAAGCAAACTAACCCCTCAGCTCATGCATCAATTAATCTAGGTAAGCAATACACTCAAGAAGTCTAGACAAGTAAGATTTTTGGAAATCTGCTATGTTTTCAAATAAAAGTTCAAGTTTGTCTGTAATACCTTTGAGCTATTTTCAGTTCCTTACTTTCCAGATGTAGCACTTTTTTAAATTTCTCTATTACGCTATGTTTTTTCATATTTAACAATCTAATCTTCTCTGTAAGTACTTGTCAATTTTTTTTCAGTTTCTTCATCTCTGAAACACTATGCTAAAGTATTGGTAATATGATTTGATTTATCCAGCTTCTATAGGGAAAGGGCGAGGACAAGGACCTAAAAGCTCTACTTTATTTTACTAGTCAAGGAATGAGAATGAAACATAACAACAACATTGCTTCTGAATCTGAGGTGGGATGTATTAACAAGAGTGCTCTTTATGCTAATCAATATACAAAAAACTCCTTCTAAAAGAACAAGAGCGAATTCGGCCATGTTGTCTAGTCAAGAAATGCAAATAATGGATAAAATAATTCTTGAGAAAGAGGATATGCAAACTATTGATCAGGTTATGGAACACTCTCAAACAATTGAAAAAGGTGTGATATTTTCAATCCATATCTTATTAATTTATAAAGCTGAATTTGATTGCTATAGTTCTTACTAAATTATGCAATGTAGGTTCATCTAATCCTACAAAGGTAAGAAGAGTTCGAGGGAGCAACATGTGCAAAGAAGTTGCTTCACTTGAAAACGGAGAAAAGCTTAAAGTAATATTTTACAATAATCGAACTGTTGGAAAAAATAGCAAATTGTTTTTCGAGGCATTTAGGAAAAATTGTTCGTGATCGTAATATGTGTCCGTTGGGAATAAGCTCGTGGAGTGATATTAAGCCAAAAAAGTTAAGTCACATGTGGGCAGCTGTTGAGGTAACAAAATTTAGCTCCATTCAAATCTTTCATTAACATAAGTTGACAAGGATCTACCTATAATATTTGTCTAACAAATCTGTTCTGCAATGTCCCCTATTTTGTGTTTTTCTATTGTGCAATATAATCTTCTCTAGTTTTTTCTTTCAGTTTTGCAATTTCTTTCTCTACTTTGTATTGCTTTCTCTGTTATGCTCTGTTTATTGCTTAACAGTTAAATGAGAAGTGTTCTAAAAAGCAAGAAAAGTGATCCTTAATCTTACACAATTAACATCCTAAAGGAATGAGGATAGTAAAAGAACTACATCTAATGAAATTTCCTAGTCTTCTTATCTTATTTACTTTCAAACTGCTGCTTATTATACTAGAAGAACATATCTTTTTGATTTTGTTGTCCTTTCTTGATTCTTCTCCCTTGGTAATAACTCAACTCATGTCCCGATTTTCGTAGCACAAATTTGAGGCTGTTGACATGAATGATCATCGTGATCATATCTTTGGATGGATGAATGAGTTATGGAACAAATGGAGAGGACACTTACATGCAAAATATGTGAAGGATAAGCCCATTCAACAGTCTCTGAAAAATATCCCAAGGGGAGTAGACAAAAAAGAATGGGAATGGTTAGTAAAGGAACATTTTACTTCTGAAAGTTTTCAGGTATGTATGCTCCTTAATTTTATTACTAGGAATCAACCTTGAATCTTGTCCAGACATGAGATGCCTTATGTATCAATAATTTTGTTATAATTATTCTAATTAAGATTATTGTTTCACAAATATAGGCAAGAAGCATCAGGAATGCAACAAACCGATCTAAGTTGAAGATGCTTCATCATATTGGTAGCAAACCTATTCGAGAGATTATTTATCAAAAGGTATTGTTAAAAAACTATTTTCCTTGATGAAGTATTTACGAGGTTTGTGTTATTTGACGTGTTTGACTTTGATGTTAAGGGTGGGAAAGATGGCAATCCACCAGATTTGGCGACTATTTTCTTTGAGACTCGTAAGAAAGCTAACAAGCTTGTTGAACCTGAAGCAATTGAAAAACATGTACGTTTGGTAAATTGAATAATTTAACGGCTTGGAATTGTTATGTGTTTTGATAGAAAATGTCCTTTTATATATGTTGTAGGCTCAACTTGAGGCCAAAAGAAAGGGGGCCTTGAGTACTCAAATGCGTACGAGGAAAGGACAATTATTCAGGAAATAGTTCAAGAAGATCCATCTCTATCTAGTATAGAGATTGTTGAAAAATGTTGTGGACCACAAACTCGTAGCCATGTATTTGGATTTGGGGGTGGAGTAAAGGCAAAAGATTTGAAAGGTGGAACTTCTTCAAAGGCTGAACTATTGTCTACGCTACGTTCAACTCGAGATGATAATAAATTCTTGAATGAAGAAAACAAATCTTTGAATGAAGAAAGCAAATCCTTGAATGATCGTTTGTCTACCTTAGAAGATGAGATGAAAGAAATAATGAAGATGAAAGAATTCTTTGATGCTCAACAATCAAATGTACCACCTACAATATCGCCTGTTTCAACTGAATGACAACTGTTTTTTTGCTGACCAAGTAAGTAAGAATATACCCGACTTTATTTTATTATAAGAAGGCTTTTAATTCTTGACATGATAGTGCTGTCTCAATAGTCCCTCTACCATGTCCTCATCCTCTGCTAGCTCTTGGTTAAATGCTCTTTTTCAAGAGTAGCTTCTTCTTCATTGGTCTCTGTGGCAGTGGTTGGCATCCAAGTTACCAACGAAAAATCTGCAATTAACGTTATTTAATATGAGTACAGTTCGAGAGAAACATTGAATGTTGATATAAAGAAATGTATTGACTATTGTATTAGTAGGGTCATCCTCATTTTTATTTTTAGTACTTTAATATCAAGCTGCAAATGAATGAACAAAGGTGAGGGTGGTTAGCAGAGATATATGTGGTATGAAACACATCAAGTAGCTCACTGTGGTATGAATTGGCCTACTCTAAGGCCAAATGTAGGATTAAAAAAGGTGATAGAGCATGGCTAATAGGTTTTGGCTTCGGTTTCAAATGTAACAGTGATGTTTGGCATGCCCTAAAAACTATTAATCCTAAGGATCTGGAGAAAAATCCATGAACTGATGAGATTCAAGACTTCCCAGTTCATGTTCCTGCAGTGATGCCTCTTTAATTTCTAGTTGAATGTTTTATTAGTTCTTTTAATTGTATGTCCAACGGGATAGTTAACTCCCCAGGATTACTATTCTAACCCATAAGTTCTCTTGTGGTTTATACACAGGTGGTTCAATCGAACTTGCATTCCAGATTAAACATACAGGGTTTGATCGTCCGGAAAAACAAGTAAAATCAACATCTCTGTCTGCATTATTGTCTGCACTGTTTGGGGGGACTTGGGAGGTTGGGATGGGGATGGAAATATACAAGACCTGTTTCTGGACAATGCAAAATTACTGTTTGCATTAGCCCTGTTGTAAGTTTCGAGATTATGTTTATTTCACATGAGATTTCTGCCCTGTTTTCTGTTCATTGCAGTTGTTTTTTCCGACTTATTTTTCATTCCTGCTCGTCTCTAAAGCTATTGGGTCAATTTTTTTCATTATCTGACTGATGTTATATATATATTTAGTTGTAAATCTTTAAAATAGATATTAGATTCTCGGTCAATGCATCTCAAAGTTTTTCTAATGGATTTTTTTCTTATTTTCTTGCAGCTTTTGTTGATGTTTCTGGATAACTCTCGATGAAGATTGGAACTTTTAATTTTTGCCTAGCTTTTGTTCATTCTTCTATGCAAGATACAAGTTAATTTAGAAGAAGATGAATGAGCTCACTTTTAGGTTGCTACAAATTTAATGCAAAACTTGATGCCATAGTCTAACTCGGATGTTAATTAGCTATGTTTTTTTGTGAAGCAAACATTGAAACATACATCATGGATGTCAACTAGATTATCGTAATTAATTGTTTTCTTTATATATATCATCTTTTCGTAGCAAAATTTTTAGTAGTAATTCGATATTTGCTGAAATGTATTAGTGCTCCATCTAGGACAAAAATTATACTGGTCTCTAAAGGCCAATAATGACCAGGCTTGTTGCTCATCTGTAATGCTATTCTAGGATGGGGTTGTTGATAGTCACCAAAGCTATTCTAGGACGAGATAGTTCTTGTCTTTAAAGCAATTCTAAGGCCAGGTCTTTAATGGTCACTAGAGATTACTAGGACCAGATATATATCGTCTCTAAAGATTATTACGACTAGTTTTTGGTGCTCCCAATAGAGTTTTACCGACCTGAAAAACATATTTCCCAAAATATATTTGATCTATTTGAGACCAGAAATAACGTCCCTAAAAGATATTGTCGCGACCAGATTGGATCCCCGTCCCAAAAAGCTTTAACGACTGGATTCTTTGTCCCCGTCGTTATTGGGCGATAGCGAAGGAAGCATTTAGGAGGGGTGGTGACCAGATGTTTCAGGTCTCAAATGCTCATTTTGGGACCAGATTTCGACTTTCAGGGACCATATTTCCCGTCCTTAGAGACTGTTTTTCTTGTAGTGGTTTAATAGTCCTAGGATGTCTGAAAAGCCCCACTAAGTAGAGTCATTTTCATGGGTGTGAAGTGCACCTCATCTAATGAGAGGGAGACTATGACGTGTTTTAGAAAAACTTCACTTTCTTGATATTCTTATCATGCGTTGGTATGATCTCCTTTCTAATCCATCGTTATGCGCTTTAGATCATGCCTCATCGTTGAGCTTATGCAAGGAATGCTAATGCACGCAATGCTAATACGGTTCCTCTAGTCCTAGATCATGAGGTTTCGAATGAAGAGTTTCAAAATGTTATCCAACTTTTGGCTCTGAGTATGACTAACCAGAACAATCAGCAGGTTCTAGTTCCTACTAATAGAAATGGTGGATCAGTGGTAGCTAGAGTTAGAGATTTTGTTAGCATGAATACGCCTGAGTTTTTAGGGTCGCAAGTTGGTGACGACCCACATAATTTCATTGATGAGGTTAAGAAAATCTTTGGAGTGATGCAAGTTACTGGTAGTGATAGGGTGGAATTGGCATCCTACCAGCTTAAGGATGTGGCTCACATATGGTACACTTAGTGGAAAGGCAACATGGGCAACTATGTCTTGTGTAACTCCCTATATAGTAGTAAACTTCTTTGTTAGTCTAAAAACTTTCTCAGAACCCTTCTTAGTCTCTACTCTAGTCGGTGACCCAGTTAAAGCTAGACGGGTATACAAAAATTGCCCTCCGAAAGTCAGCTCACTAGATCTTGTAGAGTTAGAAATGGTAGACTTTGATGTCATTCTAGGCATGGATTCGTTACATTCCTGTTATGCCTCAGTCGATTGTAGAACTAAAATTGTTCGTTTTCAGTTTCCTGACGAACCAATCTTAGAATGGAAGGGTAGTAGCTTAGCGTCTATGGGTCGATTCATTTCTTACCTTAAGGCTAGAAAAATGATCTCTAAGGGTTGTCTCTATCATCTAGTTCGGGTTAAGGATTCAAGCTTCGAGACCCCAACTCTTGAGTCAGTTCCTGTAGTTAATGAGTTCCCAGAAGTGTTTCCAAAAGATCTTCCCGAAGTTCCTCCCGAAAGGGAAATCGACTTTAGAATTGATCTCCTTCTAGATACCCAGCCTATCTCTATTCCTCCTTACAGAATGGCTCCAACTGAGCTTAAGGAATTGAAAAAGAAGTTGAAATACCTTCTAGATAAGGGCTTCATCAGACCTAGTATTTCCCCATGGGGTGCACCAGTGTTGTTCGTGAAGAAGAAAGATGGTTCTCTCAGAATGTGAATTGACTATAGGTAATTGAACACGGTCACAATCAAGAATAAGTATCCCATCCCCAGGATTGATGACTTGTTTGACTAACTTCA